CCTAGCACCTCTTATTTTCAAAACACAGGTCTTACTGACTTCAGTTGCAGCTGAAAGTCTGTCCTTAGGGTATCGATTCTGGCACCCAAAAAATGAACGATGCTTAATTACTAGATAGCGTAATTTTTTAGATTTGCCCTATATCATAAAAGAACTCTGTTGTGGAAGTAGGGTAGGTGTTTTCTTAACGAAGGGCCTTTCTTTCTTTTCCTGAAATCCTGTCACATTCAATGCACACCTTTCAACTACTGTATAAAATAAAGGGGTGCTGTGAGTAACAATCGCCAGTGCATGAAACGAATTCATTTCAAGAGCACCATCCATCTTGTACACAGAGCCAAGGTCCTCCAGAAAAAAAACACACATCTGACGCTGCCTTTTTGTTACATGATTATAATGCATGCACAGGCAGCCTTAAGTTCTGTTTTTCTTAACTTTTGAATGAAGCTTCTTTTTCTTTTAACACTATTTGTGTGAAATTTCCTAGCTTTAAAAAAAATAAAATTGAAATGCTTTCACATGGAAACATGCAACTCTGAAAATTGGTCACCAGTGAATCTTGATCCTCTAATTCAGCAGTTCCCAGCCATGGGTCATGACCCAAATGAGGGTCATGGGGACAATGCTGGTGGCACCGCACAAAAAAGATGAGCTCTCCTGCATGCCGAAAGCTTCCCTGCCCCCAGGCTGCCACTGCCGCACTCCGCTTCCAGCAGTGGGGCATGGAAAAAACGGTTAGGAACCACTGCTTTAATTCTACAGCATAGGAGTCATTCATTTGAGCTAATATAGTAGTTGTAAGCATCAGTGGTTGTCTTTCTCTTTGTGGACCAGCCAGTAGGAAGGAATTTGATGCAAAATTCATGGATGACCCATGTTGAGAGTTGCTGACAGAGGAATAATGAGATACGGGGAATCTTGAGTTCAGTTCCATGCTCTGGAGAGGTGTACAGTACATAGTTAATAGATCTTTTGCCTATGTTTGCCAGAGGGGAGGGGTGTTCTACAGAGAAAGCAAAAGTCATATCCAGGACACCAGTATGATGCATAAGCATGCACACACACTACATACACTACTACCAAACATCAGATTCCTATCCTAAAGCTTGAGAGTGATAAAATGTGCTGAAATTTTTCCTAAATCATTCCTTCTAAGGCAGCTTTACAGCCTAAATGTTAGTTTGAAATTATAGTCTCGAACAGTTGAAAGTGCGGTATTAAAGGTGGGGGGGAGTATTAGTCAGTTTTAGGTTATAGAGCAGTAAAGGTTCTCCCTGTTGTAACTTCAGATTTTCAAAATGTACATTTTATTTAAAAAAACCCTTAAAAATATGAATTGACCCTTCAAGTTCTTTATACTTACTAAATGACTTGCATCTTACACACATTAATTGGCCCTAGATTTGGTTACATTTTTCTTGTGTTTTAAAGGTTCTATAAACAAAAAGAAATCAAAGAAGAAAGGTCTTCGGTATGATACACTGGCCCTTCCACCTATCATGGCATTTGCATCAGGTAGGTAATCTTGTGTGAGAAATCTGAATCAGCCCTAACCTGAGTAGCAGTCCCTTATTCAGAAATTTATGTTTCAGAAATTCCATATTAATTTAATTTATGAGAGATGTGTTAGAATTTCTACAGACCTTTATACCTTGAAAAAGACCACACATAAATGGCACCTTACATAATTAAACTTCCCACAGAGAATGGTCACTGGAACCATAAATGTAGCTGTTTAAAAGTGAGCTGGATTTTACTTTTTACGTGTTCAGGATTCTCAGCTAAGTTTCAGTGATAGAATCTTTGGTATTTGGGCCAGGAACACCTCAGTTATCTTTATGTGCTGGTTCAGATTGTGTTTGTAAAATTAGTAATGAAAGTGACCAATGTTACTTGCATTACAGTTGTCTCTGTAAACTGAGTAGCTTCAGGGTCTAAATTGTTTTGAACCCATAATTGCATTCTTAGAGTTACTTTTCCATATAAAATTGTACTTTAGTCTTTATCTCATTCCTTGTTGGTTCAGTGTATAAAAGTGGCAATTCATACTTTTACATGTAGTTAATTAAAACCCTCCTTAAGCCCTGATTTAGAACTCCAGAGTTTTTTATCAATATTTGGAGTTTGTACTTTTGGGGGAGTCAATGGACCTGGAGAATGAGTGTAAAATTGGCTAGTATAAAAAGTTGTTGCATGTATTTATTTTATTTTATTAATACATTTTTATAATTTTATTTTTATAAATGACCATATTTACTCAAATACAAGACCAAGCTTTCCCTTCCACAATTGGCATGGGAAAAAGCTCCTAATCTTATACAGTAAAAGCTCTGTTATCCGGCATCCCCCATTCCCGGGGATGCTGGATAACAAAATATGCCAGTTAATTGAGTGGCCCCGGCCGCCGCTTCTCACACTGCGTCTGGGGCATCCCTCTGCCCCTCTCATGGCATTGCTGCCACTCCCGCGGGGCCCACAGGGCCCCATGAGACATGGAGGAGGGTCCCGTGCAGCCTGTTATGCCCCTGGGTCATGGGGGCTCAGCAGTACAGGCTGCTTTGTCCCGAGCCATGGGGGCTCAGAGAAACTGGAAGTGCCACAGTGGGCACTTCCAGTTTCACTTTATCTTACAAGCCGGCATGCTGGTTAGTGGAGCATGCCAGCTTGTAAGATGCTGGATAACAGAACTTTTACTGTAATTGCATTCAAGGAAATCTCAGTGCATACATTGTCTATCATTAAACTGTTGTCAAAAGCAGCATGTGCTCAGCAATAGAAACCAACTACCAAGTTGGTTAAATGTAGCCAACAATGAGCATGACTATAAAACATGGCTCACATTGGTCAAACATACTGATGGGAATTTTAAAAAAAATTTTAAGGAAAATTTTTCATATCTTAAGCCAAGTCAGCCAAATCAATTCCAAATTTGTGAGTCATTCAGGAACCATATGTTGCTATACTACCAGCAAACATTCTCCACCCCCACCTGGTTCTTCAGATATTTCCAAATCATTTGGCAGGCATCCTACGTGCAAGCCCAAGCCCAGAGACTTGAGGTTCAGATACACCCAAGTTTCACTTGCCTTCAACCATATGGCCATAGGAACAAGTTAATGGGAACTTTTTTTTTTTTAACTTACCACAAGAATAGGTTAGTGTAGTCTTTCTGAATAAGATATATGGCAATGGTCTCCAACCTTTTTATGGTGAAGATTACTTTTTGTAAGTAAAGGGCACCCCAGGATCTACCTCCCTCCTCCATCTCCCTCAGATAAGCTGCCCGGGCTTTGACCCCACTCACCTAGCCTGGCCCAGGCAGCAGGGGGCATGGCTCAGCCCAGCCACATTCATCCTGCTGCTCCAGATCATGGAGCCTCCGACAGACCGAGATCAACTGTCAGAGGCTCTACCATATGTTAGTGGTCACCAACCTGTCAAGTTCGATCAACTGGTCGATTGTAATGTCCATTAAGTGCAGTCCCGCTCACCACTGACTCTTTTTAAAGTCATGGTAAGCTCCTACGTTGCATACATTTTGACTTCCTCTTTGCTCCCACAGCTGATATGTGCCTTTCTTTCACATTTCCTGTAATGTGCATTTCTTCACCAGCTTTAAATGCTTGGCAAACATTACAAACCAGAGCCCCAAGTAGTTCACACAGAATCCCTCCGTTAGCCCCCTCTCTCAGCCTGGTGCATGTGGTTAGTGTGGCTGTACCTTCCATGAGGTGAAGCTGGACCAGGTTGCCTTGCACTTCATCTGCATATACATTTTTGGAGCATCCCAGGACTTATAACAAGAACACCTGGTTCCAGTCATAAGTGGGGGGAGCTAATTAGCTTATGGTTCCTTTGGTGGGGGGTATCTGGAGTATACACACATACTGAGCAGTGCTAAGCTGTGGGCTCATCATGGTTTGAAATCCTGTTGACTCTCCTGGGGTCCAGCTCAATAAACTATGTGGTTAATCATAAGCCTTTGGATTTGGACTAATATCATGCATGGTTTGTACTACAGCAAAAGCTCTGTTATCCGGTAGCCATGGGAAATGGGGGATGCCGGATAACCAAATATGCTGGTTACCCAAGAGGCATCTTTGCCTGGTTGATTTCAAGGTTATTGTTTTCAAATTTGTTCCTCACTTCCATGTGCTCAGAGAGAGCAGGGTCTGACAGTAAGGGGAGGGGGAAGGGGCTTCCAAGGGAAGAAGTTGGAGGGTAGCAGAGAGCAAAGGGGCTACCTGACCTCCCCCCCGGCATATTTTTCCCTGCTATAGCAGTGGGAGGGAGACAAATTCAAGGCAAACCTTCAATAATTACATACTATACCTGGAAAATGATAACAAATGTACTCAGTTGGTCTAATAAAAGATAGCATATCTACTCAAAGAACCTTACCAACAAATTTATAAGTTTTCCATGTATAGAATCTAATAATTGGGGGGGTTGTCTTGTAATTCGGGCTGTGTTCTATTTCAGTAAATATGGTAATACTATTTCTTGTCAGTTCCAGCCTGTAAAATATGCATATTGATGATTATATCATGTGCATGTAGGTAATCATATGCAGAAAAATAGTTTGGAATTTTGATAGTCTCACATTTTTCATGTGAGGTTATTTTTTAATTATTTTGTCATGTTAGTCAGCATAAGAGTGACCAATCTTCTCAGCCGAACCAAAACATTTCGCAATTTAATTTTAATATTGTTAAAATGTGAATAGTATATGCATTTTAGAAATAACTGGAAACTTCTTTAATACATACTTGTGTAATTTTTAAACTTACAATTTAGTTGTTAGTCCTTTTAGTTGTAATAATTATCAAATTATTGCTATTGGTTAATGTCATCAGGCTGCATTATCTGTCTGAGCTAGTCAGACCCCCAAAATCTCTTCTCTACTTGGTCACTAACTTGCTGTGTAACCTCAGGATATGTGATCCATGCCATAAAAGTGACTGTAAAGTGAAAGATTCTAATTAATGCCATCTCAGAGTGTGCGTGTGTGTATGTATATATGCGTGTGTGTCCTGACTTGGACAGCACCAATTGCATTCTGCCCACCTACACACATGCATGCTGTACTCCAGAGGTACAAAAAATAAAATTATAAGAGTCAAATCAAACTGATTAAAAAAAACAAAGCCTCCACTTTTACTCACCTTATTTTCATATTATACGCCCTGTTTACATTGTTACTATGTTGTCATACCAAGGATTTTTTTTTTTTAACTAACCTTTTGGTTAGCTAATAAATGTACTAAATTTCAGTGGCTTTGAATTATAAGTGTTTGAAATGAATGTTACAAAGTATGAGGTAAGAAGCCCTTTGTTAATTTCAAAATGACTGTATTATTACAGAGGTTGCACGTCAGAGTGACTGGGATGGGATCATTGCTTGTCATCAAGGTTACATAACCTGTACAACTTGGAACTTTCAAAAAACATCCATGGGAGCCCATAAACTGAGACCAAAGGCATTCAGTAAAAACAAGCCTCTTGATGTATATGCAACAGTAAGTATTTTGTAATTAGCATGATTTTGTTTGTTCAACATTGTCGTTTTTTACTTTGTTGTCTAATTTAGTTTCCCAAATTCTTTTCATGAAGAAGAACTTGGAAAAGATCTAAGTATGGCAAAATTTTGATTGCCAGCTCAGTTGCAATCAGTTTCCCCCCCATTCTCAAATGAGTAATATTACAGTAAACTTGTTTGGATCCTGAAATGCCGGGTGGTCTCCTGATGATTTCTGCCCTGGAGACCTAGTTGGTTTGAATCAAAAATGTACCTACAAGTCTTCATTTTCTGAAATCCAGTTATCTGAATTTAATTTTCTAGACACTTAAATAGTTCCTAAAGCTCCTCTTGCCATCACTGATTATTTATTTATTTATTTATTTGTATCTGTAGTGGTAGATTTTCATGGTTTCTTTGCTGAATCCCTCCTGTTGAGATTTTTGAAAAATTAGGTACATTTCTGTTACAAATGTGGTGGATTTACTTAAATATCAGACCCTTTTGAATGGGTTTTTGTTGTAGCCATGTTGATCTAAGGACATAGGTAAGTAAGGTTCTTTGGGCAGATGTGATATCTGTCTTTTATTAGACCAACTGAGTAGTTTGTAAAGACCTTTTTTCCAGCTTTCAGGCACAATCACTGTTAGACCCCAACTCTATGCAACACCCAACAACTAGGGAGATAATGATCCAATCGCTCATGGGTCCTGTTACTCATTAGCCAGAGCAAGCAGGGGGCAAACACCAGCACACATTGCTCGCAACAGGTTTATTCAAAATGGAGACAGCTTCGGACTAGCTCCCAAAAAACCAACAAACCGGGGAGCTGCAGTAGTTTTTTCCCATATTTTTATACACTTTGGTTTATACTTAGTAACATTCACTCTACCCTCACTCTTCCTATGTTCCACCCATTTCTCCTCCCATTTCAAGCTCCGCCTCCGTTTACTGTTTGCTTCATTAATATGGAATTGCGTATGCATTTCACTCATTTACATGTCTTTGCTACGAGTGAGTGCATGTCTAAGACCTTGACTCCTGCTCTTCGGTCAATGGGCGGACTTCGATCAAAACCTGGAATTTTCTAGAGGCTTCTTTACCAATCACCATTCACCTTTTTGCGTATGTTCATCTTGGATTCTGTTACCAATTACGTGCTGTTTTTCACATTCCAGTCTGTTTTTTAGTCTCAGGTTGTACCATCTTCCACATTCCTAAACATCACCTCATTCACAGCACACAAGACTCTCACAGATTCACTTGCTGCTTTTTCCTCAGGAAATGGTTGACACAGTTAAGATGGTTCCTTAGCATAAGCAAATGGCTGGCTTAGATAGCATTCTGCCTTGTGGTTAGCAGCTTTTGCTAGGCCACAGGTAAAGCCTTCATTCAGCTGCAAATCCAGTGCTCCCCAAAAATCCATATAGTGTTACCCTAACACTCACCTTTCTTCGAGCGTAGGGAGTCTCTGTTGTTCTGATACTCCAAGGACTAAAAGAAGTTAAAAGTTGGACAGGATGTCAGTGAGAATGTAAATAGGTGGATATTAGGAAAGCAAAAGGTAGAGAAGGGAAGGGAGGGGGTGAACTGAGGGGATAGGGAGAGAAAGCCAAAGGTAAGTAAAGGAGACTCTACAGTAGTAGTCTTCTAAGGTAAAAAAGAGGCTGTCTGTGAAAAAGTAAATAGCTGGAAATTAGGAAGACAAAGAGTAGAAAAGTAGGGGAGGGGAGGAAAGGGGGGAAAGAAAAGTGTAAAAGGTCAGGTCTGGCAGGTACCTGGTGAATCAGATGTCAGGCAGGTTGTAATGTGTCATAAATCTAATGTCTATATTGAATCCATGATTTTTTGTATCCAGTAGATTTATGAAGTGACATTTGTAGGCTTGTCTACAAAAGGTGCTTTGTAAGCTCCCTTTGAGAATTAAAACAGAGATCGGAGAGGAATTTCACAGACAGCCTCTTTTCTACCTTCAAAAACTACTACAGTAGAGTCTCCCTTGCCTACCTTTGGCTTTTTTCCCCTCTCTCTTTCCTTCTCTACCTTTGGCAGGCAAGGTTCTTTAAGTAGATTTAATGTCTTTTATTAGTCCAAATGAGTAGTAAACTTTCGGGCACAGTCACCTTTCTTCAGGCACAGGGAGTTTCTGCTGTTCTGAGACTCCAAGGAATGAGAGAAGCTAAAAGTGTGATAGGATGTCAGCAAGAATGTAAATAGGTAGAAATTAGGAGTCTCAGAACAGCAGAGACTTCCTGTGCCTGATGAAGGGTGACTGCACCTGAAAGCTTGCCAAGAACTTTTTTCCAGCTATTCAGTCAAATAATAGATATCACATCTACCCAAAGAACCTTGCCTGCCTATGTCCTTAGACCAAAACAGCTATAACCAAATACCCAGCTTCTCTACCTTTTGTTTTCCTAATTTCCACCCATTTACAGTCTCATTGACATTCTGTCACACTTTTAGCTTCTCTCATTGTTTGGAGTGTCGGAACAGCAGAAACTCCATATGCCTGAAGAAGGGTGATGGTGCCCAAAAGCTTCCAAAGAATTTATTTTTCAGCTACTCAGTTGGTCTAGGCAGGCAAGGTTCCTTTGATATCTTTTATTAGACCCTTTTGAATTACATCTGTTCATTTCTGTGTGCTCTGACCCAACTCTTGTAAAGTTCTGCAGGAAAGATCTTAAACATAAAATCTCTTTCTGATTCATACATTTTACATCTTCTGACATCAAGGGTACGGTGTCGATACACTTGAAAATTATATGTACAGACAAGCTGTTACCTGTTGGAGGATTGCATGAGGGTTTACTTTTCAGGTTGCTTTCCTTATGCTACAGTAATCTCTTTATAAGGGGATAAAGTTGTATGTACCCAATAAAGTAGCTGGTGGTGGTGCAGGTCGTATGGCACACAGTGGACAGCCCAGAGGTCACAAGTTCAAGGCCCTAGCAGAAGCACTTGAGGCTCAGCCCTGTCAGATTCCAACAAATCTGCAAATTTTAGTAAATACCTTGTTGCAAGGACACAAGAAAGGAAGGGATATGTGTTCTCTGAGCTTTGTTGCTTATGCTTATTGCTAGGTTGCACGTTTTTATAAAAGCTGACAAGAAAGCAGCTATGCATTTCTCTTCCATATGATGAAGAATATAGGCTTTTATCCTCGAATTCTTGCAAACCTTCAGGAAAGATCTAATAGATATTTTTAAGTTTTCCTCCCTTGAAATAAATGAAGTGTCTTGCAACACTTTAAATAGAAAATACTTTGAAGTAAAAAATGTTTTACATTTTTTTTGTTAGTGAGTGTTGTGTCTTAAGGTCCTTTCTTGGGTTTTTTTCCCCTTTAAAAGGCAGTTGACATTAGCACATGTGGAAACTTTGCTGTAATTGGCCTTTCAACTGGACACGTAGATGTATACAACATGCAGTCTGGCATTCACAGAGGACGTTATGGTAAAGAAAAAGGTGAACATTGTTACTCTTTTAAAAATAGCATCCTAATAAAATAGTAGCATAAACATGCTGCCAAGAAATAGTCTTCTTATAGGTTCTGTAGTAGATCAAAGAATATGGCTCTGCAAGCAGTATTGTACCGCATTTACTTTGGAGTTGACTTGTTTTTCCTGGGTGAACGAAAGCACCATCACTGCTGCTTTGAAGGAGGGCAGCAGTCCTGCTGTGTTGGATGACTGTGAGGTTGACATCAACTTAATTTTTATGAACACAAACTTGTTATTGTCAGAGGATTGAAGCCTAAAATGAAAACTGTTGGCTTTGACTAGGTTTGTGACCATGCACACCAGATCCTCCTTTACCTGATTTTTCTAGTTCTGTCTTTGCATCAAATTCTTAATGTATTAGTGTACTCTCTGGTCCAAATAGAATGGAGGGACCACATGTGTATGTGCAGTTAACAAAGATCATAAACTAGTCCGGTACTTAGGTTTGTTGCTTTTGAATTGGCCACCTGAGCTGTTGGGTCTTCTGGGTAGTGAGAGTGCACCAGCAGACCTTGAGGTGCCTGAAGGTGCACTCCATCAGGGTGTGGATCTGGCTCAAGCTGTGGTTAAAGTGGGCCTGGCAGGGGTCCAGTTGGCCAGTATAGAGCTGCATAATCCAGGGCAGGAGTTGGTAACCAGCATCCTCAGGGCTCAGTCCTCGGGCCCGCACTGTTCAACATCTGCATCAGTGACTTGGACTAGGGGGTAAAAAGCACCCTGTTCAAATTTGCTGATGACACTGAGAAGTTGGGGGATGTGGGCACACTAGAAGGGAGGAATAGGCTACAATCGGACCTAGACAGGTTACGGGGTGGGCAGATGAGAATAGGATGGGATTCAACACAGACAAGTGCAAGGTGATGCACCTGGGGAGGAAGAAACAGCAGCATACCTACAGGCTGGGGAACTCCCTTCTCATCAGTGCCAAGGCAGAAAAGGACCTAGGAGTCATCATTGA